AAAGAATCCTGGCCTATCTACTTTCCCTGAACACTAACACCCCCAAGATGACAAGAACAGCTTAGATGGAGGGAGAAATCAGGAAGAAAGATGCTTATTTAACCTCCGACAGGAATACATAGGAAACGCCCAGAGATTTTAGGCCATGAATGCAAGTTGTCCCACACCCTGCTTGGGCAAACCACAGAACCCAATAAAGCACAGCCATGCTGTGGGTGAGGGGACTTCCTGGACTCTGCTCTCATTTGACTGTACGTGCTTCTCCAGGTGGTATAAATCTCATCGTGCTGTAACTGTGTTTGTGCCTGTCCACAGAATGCAAACATATGAGCTCTTATTGTGTCTGCACAAAGCACTGTGCTACGCAATGTGGGATAAAGGTACTGGGATGAGTTCTGGTAATGTTGAGCTTGAGCTCTGCTAAAAACTAGCTGTGCAACCTTCTTTTCCTATACGTAAAATTTTAAGAGTTCGACTAACTTCTAAAATCTCTGCAGCAAGAAATTTATTATCTAGCCCTGGTTGGGTGGCTCAATTGGTTGGAGCATTATCCTGTACACCAAAAGGTTGCAGGTTTGATTCCTCATCAGGGCACATACCCAGGTTGCAGGTTTGATTGCCGGTCAGGACACATACAGGAGGAAAGCAAGTGATCTCTCTCTCTCATCAATTAAAAAAAACCATGTCCTTGCCGTAACCGGTTTGGCTCAGTGGGCTGAAGACCCTAGAGACAGAACCTGGCTATAGAACCAGGATAGAACATGGAAAGAGAACCTGACTAGAACCTGGTGACTGAACCTGGCTGGAGAACTTGGACAGAACTTGGCTGGAGATTGTGGCTAGAGATCCTGGCAAGGCTACTGATCAACTGAACGCTGTCTCCGTGTCATTCCTTCTTCGCCGACTCCGTCCACACCTTTGGGGACCCCTGGACCTGCTGGGGTTGGACCTCAGCAATAAAGGGACTGGGATGAGTTCTGGTAATGCTGAGCTTGAGCTCTCCTAAAAACTAGCTGTGCAAGCTTCTTTTCCTATACGTAAAATTTAAGAGTTCGACTAACTTCTAAAATCTCTGCTAGCAAGAAATTTATTATCTAGCCCTGGCTGGGTGGCTCAGTTGGTTGGAGCATTATCCTGTACACCAAAAGGTTGCAGGTTTGATTCCTTATCAGGGCACATACCCAGGTTGCAGGTTTGATTG